CATAGCTCACGGTACCATCGCTCACGGTACCGAATATTATAGCAGAATTACGCAAGCTCCACATTTCAATGCCGCGAATAACCAGGAAATGTTTAATTAATTTCTACCAATGAATTTCTTTCAGAAAGTAAAGCCATTTTTCAATGGTCAAACCAACAAAATTGATCGTAATCAGCAAGGATCAATATCTTTCAATGGGGATGCAAATAATGGACGTTATTGGCCTAATGGGACGAATAATGGCACATCATTTGTTCTCAGGAGAGCCAATCAGTTATCAACTGAACGCCATGTTTGTCTTCAGTAGCGCCTGAATTGACTGACATATTGCCTACCTATAACAAAATTACGGTCGGCTTACCGCCGGCCATCACTTGGCTACCAACAAAACGTCTGTAATTTAAAGGGGCTGGTAATAAAGTTATCGTTAAAGTTATCGCAGTCGGAACAAGTGAGAAATATCGGCGCGTTGTCGGCGGACATTTAGTTTCCGAACGTTGCACTCGCCGTAAAAATCAGGGAATTCATATCATATTTCATTTAGTAATATTTCAATTACAAATAAATACAGCGGTTCGAAAAGATTCTCAGTACAGAACAATAAGACGCTAAACAAATAGGAAAAGCTGATATAGAAAAATTCAGATATAATGGAAGAGATATTTTTAGCGCATTTTCTCATTTATGGAAAAAATGCACTATTGTGCTCGCCATGTCCGTCCGTCCGTCTGTCTGTCTGTCCGTCTGTCCGTGACCTCAAGTTTTCGTCGACGAGAAAATGCGCTCTCTGTCACTCAATGCAGTGAGTACCGAGTTATATTTCTTCAAGTAACACTAGTGACGATATGGTGAATAGTGACGTTAAGTTGTGGCCCACGCACTTCAACAGCAATCAAGTCATTAGTCATTGCTTAGTGCAGTGCTAATTAACTGCATTAAAGTCACAATTCATTGCTTAGTGCAATGCCAATTCACTGCATTGAAGTCACAAGTCATTGCTTAGTACTGTGCTAATTCACTGCAATAAAGTCACAAATCATTGCTTGGAGCAATGCTAATTCACGGCATTAAAGTCACAAGTCATTGCTTAGTGCAGTGCTAATTCACTGCAATAAAGTCACAAGTCATTGCTTAGTGCTGTGCTAATTCACTGCATTAAAGTCACAAGTCCTTGCTTACTGCAGTGCTAATTCACTGCAATAAAGTCACAAGTCATTGCTTAGTGCAGTGCTAATTCGCTGCAATAAAGTCACAAGTCATTGCTTAGTGCAGTGCTAATTCCCTGCATTAAAGTCACAAGTCATTGCTTAGTGCAGTGCTAATTCCCTGCATTAAAGTCACAAGTCAGAAAAGAACTCTGTTCGCGTCACCTGTCTGACGCCAACAGACGGAATGACAGTAAACAGCAAGGCTCGGCAAGGAGCTCTACCAACAGACGAAACAAACAGTGGCTTGTCGTAAAACTGACGACCTGGCGGGTCTCACTAACACCCACAACAAATACTGACAGTTGCAGTAAACATTTCACTTGCAAGAAGCTTCACCAGCAGTAACAACCATCAGCACCAGCACTAACATCAAGCACCAGCACTGGCATCAAGCACCAGCACTGGCATCAAGAACCAACACTGGCATCAAGCACCAGCACTGGCATCAGGCACCAGCACTGGCATCAAGCACCAGCACTGGCATCAAGCACCAGCACTGGCATCAAACACTCGAGCTTGTAGCTTTTATCTGTAGAGGAAAATCTACAGTTGTTTATTTCCACAATTTAAGAAGAAAGTAGTTTGTGAAACCCATTCTTTGTCTGGTTATCAATCAATCCTGTATTAGACATCAAATTCCACCAACCTGTATTATGCATGTGTTTATGTGTTGTAAGATTAGCGTCGCGATATACAGGGGCGTTTAAGGCGAGTATCCGAGATCTGTTACCGAGACCTGACATATTATTTACGTTGGTCAAATCATAATAAATTTATGCTATTTCGAGGAATCGCGGATGTTCTGTAGGTGCGGATGTGGAAGTGTTAGATTATTCTCCTTTTCACTTTCATTCGTGTGAATAACGGTTGATCAAACATATAATAGTGAACTTCCGCTATATCCAATGATAAATTTTAAAATTCATGACTTTTTAATTATTTTTTGGGATACTTATTACTCTGTTAATAACAGTGGAAAGATTACGGTCTACAGAGAACGTAAAAACACTTTTGGCTGCGTAGCATGGTAAGTAATTCGACTTCATTTTACTCGAGCCATCTTAGCGCGACGAGTGTTTTATCTAATAACAGAGGCACTAATTTTAGATGTAGTTTTTGAGGTAACTACCCTCATTAATTCTTAAGAATTTGCGAGTTGGGCAGTACTTTGTCCAGCGGCAGCAAAGAGAAAACTTAGAGCATAGATAACACTTAGATTATATAACTTCTCGTGAAAGAAAAGAAAACACCAAATAATGTTTACTCATGTTTTCAGTCTATTTGCCGACTTTTTAAGCTTAGCTTCTCAATATTTTTCTCGGTTGCTGTTGAAAGTTAATTGTAAAACAAATAAGCCTTTGATCTTTTACTGCTCCGCAGAGAAGATCGCTGAGGATATTAAATGTCGCCGGTGAGGCCAGCGGCGTCTTGCTGAATATCTGGCGCGTGGATAATGGATTAATGTGGGCATCAAGCTGTCGTCGACACTCACGAACGCCTCGGCACAAGGCGTTCGTGAGTGAGGCCAGACTCACTTCGTGACTCACAAGTGAGTTCCGCGACTTGCATTTTGAAGCGATTCAAGAGAGCAAACATGGCGAAGTCTTGATGACAAATGCCCTGACGACAATCGCCGCCATCTTGAGCTCAACGCATGACAACCTTCCAGTAAATCCTGCGAGCTGTTAAGATGTCTTCAACCTTTGATTTAGGGGCGTCCGACACAGCGGAAAATTGGGCGGCTTATCCTCGACCTTTGCGTCGTACATAACCCGCCCATGATATCAGCAGAGCCGGACGGACGCAGGTTGACGGCCGTGACGCGGCCCTGAGATTCACGGCCTAACTTTCTCGCCGTTTTCAAACTGGCCGCCATCTTGTTCTCATTTCACTAATCGCGAAAGTAGTCACAACAACAAAAATAAAATTCCATCTATAACAACCACAAATATTTTATGTGTACTAGTTCTACAAGAAACTGAGGTACCATAGCTTCTTCTATATTGTGATGGACAGCCGAGATCTCTGTAAATGGGATCATTACTGTGATTAATGATCTTTCTTTCACTGATGATCAGGGCGCGAATTTTCAGTTAGAATGCAAGCAGGTTTTGAGCTTATTGACAGACAAATGATTAGTGAAATGACAGCAACCATTAACACATTGAAAATAAATTATTGGAAATAAATCGTAATCGTTAGAAAAACTTTACCTTACAATCAACGCCGCCTTGCGCAGTATTGAGCACGGTAGTAATTTTGACAAAGACCCATGGGAGACACCGTCGTTTTATTACCACTTCCGACCACCATAAAAGCAAGGCGATAACACCACACTTGCTTTCTCTGCTAATTTATTCTAATAAACTCTGTCAACGCGAAGAATATCGTGAAAACAACCAGGAAATTGAGTGTTTACGTGGGAAAATTATTACTTGAAATTTACGCCTCTGTCGAGAGTTAGCTAGTATCACAGTATCACTCACGTACTAATCAATGGCTAAGGATATTAAGCATGCGGACAGTAGGCTTTAACATATTAATTAAAGACTGGGGCAATTAGGCTTTGCCGTGATTCACGTACGAATTAAAAACTAATAATATTAGGCTGGCGACTATTAACGTGCTAATTAATAGCTAAGGTTATCGGGCTTGCGGGCAGCCACGAACCTAACAAAAAATAAATATTAGGCCAAGAGGCAACTATAAGGTCATATAACTTATTATCAACAAAAAAGAGTGACTGACAAAAAGTTGTATTCTATATTGATTCATTTTGACGTAGTTTCTAGTAAAGCAATTTATGGGGAGAATTCGAAATTTATTTGGAAAAATTAATTTACCACGATGGAGAATACAGTTTTGAAATTCTTGATTTAATTCGGCAAATTATAATTACACGCATGTACAATTGATACTCGAGTATTACAATTTTTATAATAATAAATTATGGAATGAAAAAACTGGGTGATTATTCTTTACTTTTTGATGATTTTAGAGGCATAAAAATCTGTGTGACTGCTGTTAGTTTTTGGTTATAATACTTGACTCTGCTCTGTGAATTGGGATCAATCATTAATCTCGTAAAATAAATTGACGTGTGAATTCGGCATCACATTATAAGAAACGTTTGGAATCAATATTTTATAAGATTTTCTTGATTCACATTAACGCTATTTTTCTGAAAAATGTAATGCGTTGTTCCGATTTAGTTCATTAACAGCATATCAGATGTGATAAAGTAGTTTCCCTTCAAAATTATTTTCTATGAAGAAATTTGTTCGGAGAATAGAAAACGGATTTTTAGCATAAACAACTGAATTGAGAGCATATGCGACAAATTGCAACAAGACACTAGTTAATAGTTATTACTTACTTGCATATACATATTTTTGTGCAGAGGCTTATTAACAAAAAGTATCGACATTGCCGAGACCTAAAAAATATATGATTCATAAGATTAAACTAAAAAATATCAACTAAAATTGATTACACTTTATACACATTCGCTCACCCGTGAGGCTGCAAGGTACGCCTGCACAACAATATTTTACGTTTCTTTGGGAGGCTAAAATATTATTAATCAAGAAAGTGATTCACTAAGATATTCAAATAGATCATAACTATATTTAGTCAATAACATAAACCTACATCCCAAAAACATGAACAAAATTATTGGCTTTCGGCTTGGTTACCGGCTTTATTTTACCTCTGCCAATGTTCAGGAGTGGCAAAAACTGAAATCAAATGAAGCAAAAAATGCATAATTATTTGCAAATTATTTCCACTCACCAGCAGTTGGCGTTTGAATGTGGAACTTGGTTGCCAGAGGCACGAGCCACGCTCCGTACGAAGTGTGCAGTCCGTGGGTGAGAAGTGCCGTCATGGTGGCCATACCTAGCACCAGCCACCCCCAACCTCCTTCAGGATAGTAGTGGCGTAGTAAGGTACTCCATGAACACCGCCTCCCTCCAGTGGGAAGAGCTCTACCCCACACAGCAGACGTGGCAGGTAGGGAGAGTGAGCGGTAGAGGCGTTCCTGAGGCCGCCGGAGAGGACAGGAGGGATCACCGCAACCCCTCCTCAGCAGCGGTGGATATTTGTTCTGAGCTGCGTGGTAGTGATGAGTTGGTGAGGACTTGTTTGTGTTCAGTTCAGGATATGATGTTTCTGAGGAAGGTTTTACGCTGTGGGATGCTTCGGGGGCGTCGAAACTCCGGGATGGGAAGCCTGATAGTCTCCCTGGGGTGGAGTTTCTGAGGTGAGGGGAGCATTCCTTTTTCCGAGATTTTGAGGTTGGAGAACATCCCCCAGAGGGAGATCTTAAGGTGGAAGGAAATCCTCCAGAGGGAGATCTTAAAGTGGAAGAACATCCCCCAGAAGGAGATCTTAAGGTAGAAGGATATCTTGCGTTTGGGGAAAATCTTGCGGTGTGACAAGTCTCAGAGTCAGAGAACGCGATGCACGAAGAACGACGAGCTTCCGGAAGACTTCCTAAGTCGTAAAATTTGGTTGAAATTAATGACAGTGACCGAGAATTGTAGGCTGGAGTATCCTGACTAGCACGTCCTTCTGTACAAGGAGGTCCAGCGCCCCCAGTTTGTGTAACATTAACCCATTGGAACTCCTGCATTACATCGCCCAATTTCTTGTTGGCCTCTTGACGAGGAGGCGGCACGTCAAACGTGGGGGACGTCAGGTCCTTGTTGACCGAGACGCTGGTGCTGAGTGACGTGTTCGACGTCATGGACGACGTTGAGTTCAGAGGCGTTATCAACCTCTCCGAGGCTGAGTTCGGGAGGGTTGTCAATCCCTCAGCTGTTGAGTTCAGGGTCATTTTCAAACTTTTCGTGGCATGTGTATCAGGATTCACGATGGTAGGACTGCAATGTCCGTCGAACGCACGCGTGGTATGAACATCACCTCCCGAAGTAAAATCTGTAGCACCGTTAGCTGTTGAACGGTCGGCGTTTGATGTCCGTAGATCCGACGTTGGGTTCTGTTGATGATCTATTGTTTTCATCTGATCGAATGTCAGACTTAGTTCATCGGCTGTTGAATTCTTTCGATCAAAAGCAAGATCGATTTCATTAGCATTGGGATTCTTTTGATCGACAGCTGGACTCTTCTGATCGACAGCTGAATTCTTCTGATGGGCAGTTGAACTTCGCTGAACAACATTTGAACTTTGAAGTCCAATACCATCAGTTTTCCCAATTGAAACAGAGATTTTATCATCTGAAAATACATTATCAACTTTTCGCCTGCTATTGGCCGCCGTTTGACGGCTAGTGTCCGAGGACGATTGTCCATCATCCGCCTGATGGTCACTGGCCACAGTCTGATAATCAGTCACATAACTATGATCGTCAGGACCTTCACCCGCCACTTTTGGTTCGGCCATGTTCGCTTAAATAAGTGGCCGGCCTTTGGGCGCCTGTAATTTTCTTGAAAAAGAAAAACGTATAAACGAGAAGGTGGGAAGAGGAGTGAGAAAGGATGAGAGAAAAGAGGTTGGGTTAGGAATAAAGAATTGGAATAAAGGTGTAAATGGGGGGGGGAGGTATGTGAGAGGTCTAGTTATAGTTATTGAATGAGGAGACAAGGGCTATGAAGAAAGTACGGGACGAATAGGTATGACAAGTAGGAGGGGGGGGGGAAGGAGTGAGAGAAAGTAGGATTAGTGATGGGGAATAAGGATTATGAAGGGAGGAATAGGATGAGGACATAAGGGTTAGGGATCAAGAAAGGTGGTTTAGGATTGGGGGGATTAGGATGCGAGAGAAGTAGAAAGGTGAGTGACTTAACACAAGGCGATATTACGCCCGATAATCGCTTTTCAAGAAAAAGTATTTCCAGTTCTGATTAATTGTTAAAACGTTTTTACTTCTCCTTCACTAAACATTTGGCTGATATTCCTTATAATCCAGCATTCATCTATCGTTTCACCTACACCGCATGATCACAATATAACTGCAATGAATAATTGCAGTGTATGAATACCCTGTATTACAGCACTATATGATTATTCCGTATGATTGCATTGCTGATGTCCACTATATTATTTCACTGAATAATCACACAGAATAGTTGCAACGAATAATCGAACTGAATTATTTCACTGTGTAACAACACTGAATTATTGCACTGTATAATCACACTATATTATTGCACGGTTATTGGTATTGTTTATGAGTGCAGATATATATTTATGCATATATATGCAGATAAAACTCACAGCTCGGTCATTAATGTTCGTCCGACCTCACTTTCTCTGCACAAATTTTTCATGTCCTAAATTTATTAGCGTCTGCAAAAAAAATCAACATAAATAAAAGTAAAAATATAGTTAAATTTACACATTCATCACTGCAACGATTTTCTTAACTTGAAAATTTTACAATTCAATAGCTCTGAATTACCAATAAATAATATAAGGAAAAAAATTGCTGTACTTCTCAATTACAAATTAATTGTGAAAATACGAAAACCACCGAACATGGCCGGCCCGTTTACGACCAATACAGTCGATTTGATCGCAATCCTCGAGCGATATTCTGAATACCAGCTAGGTGCAATTGCTGGCTTTATAAGCGGCCACTGATGGCCACCGATAATCCTGCCGTGAATTACAACTAGATTGCCATGCGCTCACCGACCTCATCGCGGTAACCGCGCCCCGGAGAGCCATACCGAGCGATGAGCGGCGGTGAAGTGTTCGCTTTTTGTTTGTTGGTTTAAACTGAGTAGAATATTCTGCTGCAGCCTTGCAACTACGCATCAAAACTAAGCCAATTCGACGGAGTTGAGTTCAGGGCTGAATATACAAATAAGACGAAGAAATTTGTATCCAAATTCATGCAAAATAACACAGCTGTTCAACAGCGTGTTCAACCTCTCAGTTGTTCAACCTCTCAGAGATGAGGCCACGGCAGAGATGAGGACACGGCAGAGATGAGGACACGGCAGAGATGAGGACACGGCAGAGATGAGGACACGGCAGAGACGAGGCCACGTCAGAGACGAGGCCACGGCAGAGATGAGGCCAAGGCAGAGACAAAGTAATAAATGAATGGGATTGGTTTAGCGCAACTTTTAGAGCCTGTCGCGCCAGACGTAAAACTTTATCGCGAAACACCGATCGTTAAAATCTGTTCTCCGCCGGAGATTGATTTTGGGGACCAAGAGATGCAGGGTGGGTAAAGCATATTTTAAATAATGTTACTATATAATAACGTTGAATAATGTGTATTTCAAATATTTACTAGCAATCACAGTCATGTTACTTAGTTAATCAAAGTCTTGGCTCAGTCGTCAAAAGTTTCAAATATTTTAGATCTTAAAGTTACGGGTCATGGAACGTATCGAATTATTCAGGCTTTCATAACTTTAAATAATGATGAAATTTTCGAAACAAATTTCGAGGTTTACAACGCAGCGAAATTTATTGACATACAGAGGCAGCGTCTGGCGATCATAGGGCGCGTCGTGAGCGATTGCATGGTCGTTATAGTAACAATCATCATGTAATGATGTAATATCATCATGTGATGATGTAATATCATCATCATCATCATCATCATGTAATGATGTAATATCATCATCACGTAATGATGTAATGTCATCATCATGTAATGATGTAATATCATCATCATGTAATAATCATGCTCATACGCTCATAAATAAATGATTCCGTCACCATGGCAGGGCTTGCGCAACCATTACAAAATTCCGTCAATTAATATTATTAAAATGAAATTAAAATTAATAGCAAATAATATTATTATAATAATAAAATAACTTGTATGTATTAAATAAGTGAGAAAATTCCAGCCGCGCCAGGAGCTTCATTCTTGGATGCGCTGCGCCAGCCCAACGAATTCCGAAAAAATTTCCGGGCAAAGATGATTCCTGGAATTCTTGGAATTATAAGGAATGTCACTACACTGTGGTGCCGCCACTACACTGTGGTGCCGTCACTACACGGTGGTGCCGTCACTACACTGTGGTGCCGTCACTACACTGTGGTGCCGTCACTACACTGTGGTGACGCCACTACACTGTGGTGCCGCCACTACACTGTGGTGCCGCCACTACACTGTGGTACCGCCACTACATTGTGGTGCCGTCACTACACTGTGGTGCTAGCTGCCACTACACTGTGGTGCCGTCACTACACTGTGGTGCCGTCACTACACTGTGGTGCCGCCACTACACTGTGGTGCCGCCACTACACTGTGGTGCCATCACTACACTGTGTTTCCGTCACTATACTACACTGTGGTGCCATTCTGTATTAAATAATCTGTGATTGAATATTGGCAACGTGGCGAATGCCCAATTACAGCCCTCGAACATGGCAAATAACCGACCATTTAATCCAAGATGGCGAATAACCGATCATCAATACAATAATAGATCATTTCATCATAGATGGCGAATAACCGATCATCAATGCAACGTGGCGAATAATCGATCATTTCCTCAAAGATGGCGAACAACCGATCATTTCTCCACCCCCCCCCCCAAGATGGCGAATAACTGATCATCAATGCAACATGGCGAACAATCGATCATTTTTCCAAGATGGCGAATAACCGATCATCAATGCAACGTGGCGAACAACCGATCATTTCCTCCAAGATGGCGAATAACCGATCATCAATGCAACGTGGCGAACAATCGATCATTTCATCCAAGGTGGTGAATAACCGATCGTCAATGCAACATGACGAACAATCAATCATTTCATCTTAGGTAGCAGACAAGCGATCAGATCAGACCAGCGCTCTGTGGACATGCAATTGGCATTGTGTCGTGTCTTCGTCGTGTTTTTTTCTCATTTATGATCATTTCAAACTTTTTACAAGTTTACAAAATCTCTGAAATATTTCTTCAGAGATATTCATAGCTTGTTACTAGGAGGACCCGAAACTTTTTATTAAGAAACTCGTATTGGCAGAACATTGACCTCTTCCTGGCCACGGTCTTCTTCTGGGTTAATATTATTAATATTATTAATATTATTAATATTATTAATATTATTAATATTATTAATATTATTAATATTATTAATATTACATCCAATTATCACACCATCATTGACGGCCAATCATTCAATTGTCATGCCTTCATTGACGGCCAATCATCCAATTGACATGCCTTCATTGACAGCCAATCATCCAATTGACATGCCCTCATTGACGGCCAATCATCCAGTTGTCATGCCTTCATGAGCGGCCAATCATCCAATTATCATGCCTTCATGGCCGGCCAATCATTCAATTGTCATGCCTTCATGGTAGGCCAATCATTCAATTGTCATGCCCTCATTGACGGCCAATCATTCAATTGTCATGCCCTCATTGACGGCCAATCATCCAATTGACATGCCTTCATTGGCGGCCAATCATTCAATTGTCATGCCTTCATTGGCGGCCAATCATTCAATTGACATGCCTTCATTGGCGGCCAACCGTCCAATTTTAAGAAACAAACATAATTCGCTGGTATAACTTTACCCTGCGTTCAACTGCCATCAAGTTTATGCCAAATATTTATCTAAATCTTCAAACATTTTACTGCTGCCTGAGGAACTCCTTGCGTCCTTAGCCGCGTAGAATAAAAAATATATAAATTTAATTTTAACGACCGCTTCACCTGCCACTTCATGTTTACTTCGTGAATGTTCAAAGCAAACGCAAATGTCGGAATTTGGAAAAGCTATCAGAACTGCGCTACCTAGACCATACCATTATCAAGGTCTAAACTATACCATTATCAAGGTCTAGACCATACAATTACCAAGATCTAGACTATACTAGTATGGTCTAGACCATACAATTACCAAGATCTAGACTATACTATTACCAAAGCCTAGACCACACCACCATCAAGGTCTAAGCTATACCATTACCAAGGTCTAGACCATACCATTACCACAGAGTAGACCATACCATTACCAAGGTCTAGACCATACCATTACCAAGGTCTAGACCATACCATTAACTAGGTCTAGACCATGCCATTACCAAGGTCTAGACCATACCATTACCTAGGTCTAGACCATACCATTAACATGGTCTAGTCCATACCATCACCAAGGTCTAGACCATACCATTTACATGGTCTAGACCATCCCGTTACCCTAACGCACGAATTTTTCTCTGTGTACGTCTTGTTCACACAATGTGACGTGGCAAAGTTTGTGTGGACGCGGTTGTTCACACAATGTGACGTGGCAAAGTTTGTGTGGACGGGGTTGTTCACACAGCGCTTGTTGACGTCTGAGTGGCAGCTGTGTACACCTGGTAAACAATTATGGCTTGCAAGCAAACACAGCCCGGCAATGGGACGGCGATGTGTGAAATGTATCAATTCATATGGATACATCAACACAGTTGCGTAAATTTGGCCTACTTAATTGAATTTTTTCTTTGATTTCAAATGTCTGATCAATCTGCATTGATAAGATAATTTTCACTAAATGATTGGCTTGTAAATGCGCATGTGCCAAATATCAGTTGGCTGTTTCCTCAACGCGCCTATCTCTTTAGTCTAATCATGCCATTATCATGGTTTAGGCTAGACCATTGTTATG